TATCACTTTCCGATGAGATATACTTATGTCTACTCTGACTTCTCAGAGTCCGAATACTGCTACAGTGCTACTGCCACCACTACGAGTATACCTCGCGCCTTTCATGCTTGTGCCAGTCCGTCTCCTATTTAGATGCTAGACTCGGGTGCGAATGATCACATGACAGGTGAGGCCCATCACTTCACCACTTTTAACGAGCAGTTATATACACAGGTTCAATTAGCAGATGGGACACATGCCCCTATTGTTAGCAGGGGTATAGTTTGCCTTCTAGATGGCTTGACATTACGTTCAATTTTTCATGCGCCAAAGTTGCCCATGAATCTATTATCTGTACATCAGTTAGCCAGAGATTTTTACCGTGCGATTGTGTTTTTATCTGATTCGTATTATTTTCAGGACCTGAGTACCAGGAGGATTATTATCAGGGGACATGAGAGAGATGGACTATATTATCCAGGCGATCCGCCTCCAGTTCCTCCACCTACATCATCTGCACGTGCTTTGTCTTTATCTGTTCCTAACTTGCATGCTAGTATTTTACCTAATAATTGTCGTTATGATTTTTCGTCACAAACTGTTCAGTTGTGGCATGATCGTTTTGGACATACAAATTTTAAATATTTATGTATTTTGTTTCCTACTTTGAGCAATGCATGTGTTGATGGTAAACTTGACAGTGTTATATGTTCCCTATCGAAACATGTTAGGACCAATTATATTCCTCGCATGCACCAGTCATCCAAACTATTCAACCTAATGCACTCTGATATTTGGAGACCCTCTCCTATTACTGCCCTGTCAGGTGCCCGATACTATGTAACATTTATAGATGACCATACCCGTTATACTTAGGTCTACCTTTTGCATAGGAAGTCTGATGTACTCCCTCTAATCACTCAGTTTCTACAGATGATTAAGACATAATTCGATGTCATTGTTCGTGCTATTCGTTCGGATAATGCTAAAGAATATGTGTCTGATGCTTTAGTGTCTCACCTTTTTTCTCAGAGTATTCTTCAGCAACTCACTTGTCCATATACTCCTGAGCAAAATAGTGTTGCTGAAAGGAAAAATAGGAATCTGATAGGGATGGTACGTTGTATGCTTGGAGGCATGGGGGTGCCAAAATCTTATTGGCATTTTGCCATTTTGACTTTTACCTTTCTATACAATTGTACTTCGAGTCGTGTTCTTTAGCATAGGGCTCCATTATAAGTCTTATTTCCAGAGTGGACACTTTTTCCAGTCCCCCCTCGTGTTTTTGGATGCACATGTTCTATTCAGGATCGATCTCCTACTCGTCATAAGCTTAATGATAAAGCAATTCGTTGTGTCTTTGTAAGCTATTATCATCAGTCTAAAGGGTATCGGTGTTATGATCCTATTAGGCGTCGTATGTATCACAGTCTAGATGTTACCTTTCTTGAATATATTCCTTATTTTTCTTCCAGTTCTGTGTCTACTTCTCCAGTTGATGATACTCCCTTTGATTTTTCTTTACCCCCGAAGCCAGAGCCATTGGTCACTATCACTACAGAGTCATCGGTTTCTCCTCCTTCAGAGCCACTCATCCCTATCAGTACAGAATCACCGGTCTCTCTTCTTTTGCAAGTTTATATTTGTCACCCTCGCTCTCATCCCCTCTACCTCAGGCGATGCACGTACTATTTCTCAGTTCGTTAAGCATATTGTTGCATCTGTTGTTAATACATATGAGATTGCAGGTACTAAGCCAGTTGTTTTACCTGATAAGATATTGTCAGTGGAGGATGATAATTTAAGGCGTCGTTATCCGCGACATGATCGTCGTCCAGTTATTCGTTATGGTTGGACCGATAGGATTTTATATCCGATCTCTGCTTATGTTTCTTTTGGTGATCTGTTTCCTACATTTCGAGCATATAGTATGGCCTTATCAGATACGCCAATTCCTCGCTCTGTTTCAGAGGCTATGCGGGAGCCCTAGTGGTTCTTGCCATGCAGATAGAGATGGATGGACGTTTTTCAGCATAATCATACGTGAGATCTTGTTTTTTTACCTTCAGGGGTGAAGCCTGTTGGCTATCGCTGGGTTTACACCCTGAAGTTTCTTGCGGATGATACTATTGATCGTCACAAGGCTAGGCTTATGACGAAGGGCTTTACTCAGGTACAAGGTCGTAATTTTGGTGCTACCTTTGTCCCTGTAGTAAAATTAACTACTGTTCGACTGATTATTTCTCTGGCTGCGGAGTACTCTTGGTCTCTTCATCAGTTGGATGTGAAGAATGCATTTTTTCAAGGTGATCTGGAGGAGATTATTTATATGGATGAACCACCGGGCTTTCATGGTGAGGGGGAGTATGTTGGAAGGTATGTCGACTGCGTAAGTCTTTTTGGATTGAAACAGTCACCACGAGCTTGGTTCTCTCGCTTTAGTGATGTAGTTATATGTTTAGGGTTCACCAGATGTCATTCTGATCATACTTGCTTTATTCGATGGAATCCTTTTGAACAGTATATCATCCTTTTGGTATATGTAACGATATTATTATTATTGGAGATGGTGTTTCTGGGATTGCACAGGTCAAGGTAGACCTTGGGAAGGCCTTCAATGTGAAGGACCTTGGACTTTTGCGATACTTTCTTGAGATTGAGATTGCCAGTAGCAGCAGAGGTATTGTTATTTCTCAGAAAAAAGTATGTTCTGAATCTTCTCTCAAACACTGGGATGTTGGGGTGCAAACCCGCATCATCACCCATGATTCCAAACCTGAAGCTTACTGCTGAAAGTGAGGAGTTGAGAGATCCGACTATCTATCAGAGGTTGGTAGATAGACTTATCTATCTAGCCAACACTAGGCTAGACATTTCATTCGCTGTCAGCCGAGTTAGTCAGTTCATGCACAGACCATGTCAGCCTCATCTTGATGCAGTTTATCATATTCTTCGGTACCTTAAGTCTTGTCCTGGACTTGAGTTGTTCTATGCATCAGGATCTCAGATTAGTTCTCTAGCCTGTTATTTAGATTCAGATTATGGGACAGCATGTGACGGTCGATCTACTACGGGCTTCTATGCTTTTCGAGGGACTCATCTTATCTCTTGGAAAAGCAAGAAGCAGCCAGTTGTCTCTTGCTCGTCAGCAGAGGCAGAGTATCGAGCATTGGCACTTAGCACATGTGAGATTATCTGGCTACAATCGATTCTTGGCGAGTTGGAATTTTCAAGGACTTCTTCATCTACATTATATTGTGATAATCGCTCTGCTATTCAGCTTGCTTCTGACTCTGTATTACACGAGAGGACGAAGTATATAGAGATCGATATTTACTTTCTTTGAGAGAAGGTTAGCAATGGTATTGTCACTCTATCGTTTGTGAGGACCAGTGATCAGGTTGCAGATGTTTTCACCAAACCTGTCACTCTATCTATTCTTCGAGACTCTATTGTCAAACTTGACTTAGTTGACATTTTTGCACTTAACTTGAGGAAGAGTGTTGGAAATATAGCAGTTTAGTTTATTAAGATTTATTAAGTTTTTTCTTTTTACCTTTTAATCCTTATTGTAACTTTCATTGGCTATATATATGGGGGATCTACACTTAGTTTATATCCCTTTTCTCTTTCAAATATTTCAAGTTACACACAACACACCATTACGATAGAAGACATGTCTTAGATCTCCTTCTTTGAAGCACATCAATAGTGTTAATCTTACCACGAGCAATCAACCATGACAAAAATTGCACCTTTAAAAGTACTTTGAATTTCCAAACCTTCACTAATAGAAGGAAAAATAGGAGTGAAGAATCATCAATTAATGACTCAAAGAAAGATTTACTTGAGAACTCCTGACGGCATCATTAGCCCAACATCTTTTATCTGACTGATTTTTTGGGTCAAGGAAATAGTATTAAGTATAGAGAGATGAACCAATAACTCTACACATGCCCTAGTAGGATCGTAATTGGGAAAAAATTCAATGATGTTTATAACAAGAAACTCGATAAAGCTGAGGAAAAAGAGTAAAAAATGAAGACTCCCAACCAAATATCCTCCCAAAAATGCATTCTCACTCCATCTCCCACAGTGAACTTAATTCTCTGCAAAAAGAAGTGTAATCCCTTAGAAATGAACCTCCATGAACTCTGAAAACTACCCCTTTCAACCCTATTTGCATTTCACCAATTAGTTTGCAACCTATATTTGCTCCTAATAACTGAGTGCTACAATGATTCTTGCTCCAAAGAAAATCTCCAAAGTCTTTTTTCAACTGTAGTTACGTTTCTTTTCAAAAAGTTCCCAACCGAAAGACCACTTTTTGTCTTTAGATCTAGATACAACCTCCCAACATATCCAGTGGTTCTTTCTAACTATTTTTTTTTTTTTTGAAAAGGGGATTTAAACTCTTAACCTTAAGATGACAAAACCTTCACAAGGTAAAAAGTACCAATAGAGGAAAGATATGTTGGTAGTCCTTTCTACCTTCAATCATCTTTTCCCATAAAAAATCCTTCATCAAGCCTTCAATTTCCCTATGTACCAAGCAGCAACGTAATTGGATAGGGTGTGTGGGGCTCAAGTCTAAGCTTATGAAAAACAACTAGTTTCTGATTTGAGCATATGAAACACAGAAAATGAGTAACTCTACAAATAGGGTTTCAGCCAAAGTGAGAGGGGCTGGTGGTGGCCTCAAACTATCGGTCAGGTAAGCTCATCATCTGCTAGTTAAGGCTATTCTCAGGTTCTAGTGGGAGAATGGGGGTCATGACTTTGGGTGGAGATGCGATTCAGCAGTGGCATGTGTGCGCAAGTGTGGGTGTGTGATAGAGAGAGAGAGAGAGATAGGTTCTGGTTGCAGAAGAGGGGGCATGAGTAGAGAGATAAACACCTTTGACATGCTTCAAACAAGAACTCAAAAGGTTTTGTGTTCAAAATCTTAATATGCTTCAACAATACATTGAGAAGGCTAATAACTTGATTTGTTTAGTTGATATATGCACGAACACCATTTAGTAGTCGCTTGTTTACTTAATCCGTCTTAAATTGATCGAATTAGTGGGGGCAATTCGGGTTTCTCCTGCCATATTCCTCTTTCATGAAGCTCTCTTTTCAAGGTTTTGACACAAGCAGGAGCGTTACAAATGTGATACCATAGCCTTCAATTGCATTCCTTCATTTGTACTACCTTCCTTGTGCCTTGCTGGTTAGGATGTGCAGTCCTATTTTCCACTCCCGGGGGGGGGGAGTTCTTCCAATTTGTGCTCCAAACAATCAGGGATTGAATAATATTCACTGGAGATCAAACTAACAAGAGTGGAGGTTCTACTTATGTCACATATATATATGTGTGTGTGTGAGTATTTCAACCAGGTGATTTATGGTCATATGCATATGGACAACAACAGGTTTTTAACAGAATTTGAAATAAATGATGTGCTCACCGTTTCAGGGTAACTTAACTCAGGGGGATACTCATCAGGAGTCCAGTCATCCAGGTTAAACTCGGGAAATGAACGAGTAGATCCATTTGCATACAACCATTCACCTCCCTCAACCTTTCGGCAATTGGGGCATTGCATTGCTCCCTTTATATTGAATGCCGAACCGATGCAATCTGTATAACATAGCACAACAGTTAACCATAATAGCATACAAATCTCACAAAAAAAAAAAATTAGTGTAGAAATGATAATTCATTTTGCACATAACAATAGATGAAACTGCGTGCCTTAGGTGTAAAACATTATGAACACAACAAGAACAAAGTTCATCATTCATGTCCAAAAAACAATCTAAATGTTTTCTCAGAATTTTCTGAGCCATAAAACAAATCATTTTTTAAACTTGTGCCTTGAGTCGGGGTAAAATTCATGGATGCAATAAGACCAAAGTTCATATTTCTTGTCCCAAATAAAGTCAAACATGTTACAGCATTTTCTGAGCAGTAAAATAAATTAAACTCTGAAAGGATCTGATGCAGCAATCTAATCTAAAATCGCAGTGCCTCATTTTGATATGAATTTAGAGGTTTTTGTACCTCACCATGTTAACGGTACTCAAAATATATCGAATAGATAAATATTGCTATTCACAACTAGCTTTCACATTTTGAATCTGAAGAACATTACTTGTCAAGCTTAAGATGCTTCCATGGTTTTGGTGGTGCTAAGAATATTCAAAAAGAAATTGAGTAATTCAATTACGGAAGTCAAAAAGTTCGAAATTTTGGCCTCATTCAGTAGGAGACACTTTTGATCTCACCAAAATTTGGCCAGCATATTCACCCTTGGCTTGCCAGGACAACGAGCTTTTGGAGCTCAGCTTGGCATTGTTTCCAGGATGTCAGAGGAAAGGTCCACAGGTTGCCCGTGGCAACCAAAAGAAGGGTCACTGAGATCTTCTGGAGACAACATCTCATTTAGATATATTCAGGTTATTATCCAACCTGAACCATGCGTTTCTCACAGCATAGTCATATTATCCTACGTTTCAACGAGACTAAAAAAAATCAGCTGGTTTTCTCCTAATCTTCTGAATTTCCGGAACAAGCTTGATTTCCACGAAAAACAACCTGCTACTTACATTGACAGTGAGATTTGATTCGACACCAAGTATATGTTTTACCATACTCGGGTAGAATACACAATTCCCAGCGTATAACTAATCCTAAAAACGAAGTAACTGAGAAAATTTCAAACTAAAGGCTACTTGGATTTGTGTTTCACATTGTTTGGGATAACAATGGATAAGAATCTGAAGACTACATATAATCAATCTACAAAAGTAGGTTTAATTGAATTTTATAACTAAAATGCAATCACAAACTCAATCAGAAAATGAACACATACAGTTCTGATATTCTTAACCGGATAACAATCTTGTCAAACTCAAACCAAAGAAAAACAAAAACAACAAACGGAAGGGGTTTCAGTCACCGAGATGGAATTCATGTCCGCATTGAAGTTTCGCTCTGGATCTTTCCCCATTATCAGTCACCAAATCGAGGCAAATCGAGCAAAAGGCTGAAGATGCTTCAAATGTTGAAGTCTTGACGTCGCCGTTGGTATCATCCATCGAACCTTCAGTGGCATTAGAGCCCATGAGTTCCTTGGATCAAAGACTCAAAACTCAAAAGTCAAATGCAATTCACCGAGAAACACCCGATAAGAACAGTGAATTTTCCGGCTAAAGCGAATATATATTTGAAGCATTCGGACAATGGTCGCCCAGAATTGGGATTATCTGAAAATCTTTCTCTCTCTGTCTCTCCGTATATTTTCCCTCTCTATCTCACCTGTCAGATTCCGCGGTCCCAATCCTCTCTCTCTTAAATATTTATGAGATGATATAAAAAATAATAAAAAAATTAAAAAGAATTACACTTAAACCTCTGAGATTTGTCTTTCAATCATCTAACTCATAATATTTGAAATATTACATACAAATCCACTTACATTTGTATGTGCATAATACTTACACAGTGTCGTCAATGTCCGTTAGTATATTCATTAGTAAATCACACTCAAACCTTTTGAAGTTTATAGACATATAATACTTAGACGCCTTAAGTTTAAAATATTATATTTAGACAAAAAATATTCTAATTAGTATATAATTATACTATTTATTGGAATAAAAATAAAAAATCAAACAAAGGTTTAAACTGTAATAAACACAATATCTTCTTGATCGTTTAAAATACCAAATTAAATTCTAATAAATTTTTAAGAAAAAATTAAATTTTTTATTTTTGGTTTTAATGGGTGCGAGATTTTGGGCTTGGACCACCGACGAACTGGGGACTAAAAGCCCCCTAACCGGGGGGTCTCTTATAGGTTGACCCAGTTGAAGGAAGAGAAACACGTTACAAGGGGTCATCTAACCTAGGCCCAATCAAACACCGACCCAACTAGGACCCAAGAAGGAGACAGACTGTTCTCCCTTTAACAACCCTGTCGTTCCACGTGTGCAAGGGACAAGGGACCATCTCTGAAATTAGTTACTACAACATCCTCCCAGACAAAGAGGATGGTGGAACTCAAGGCCTAAAGATCGTGGGCACAGTAACGACGGCAAATGGAAGGCTTTTACAGGGTAGCAGCAGGAGGTCCCCACAAGATCGACGGGAAAGATGGGAAAAGTCATAAGGAATCTCCGGAGGAACAACCACTATATAAGGAACAGTGCCTTACAAGAGAAAAAAAACCCTAGAGAGAGAGATCCCCAGAGAGGAAAAATGAACCCTCGCTTAGAACGGCTCGATACTTGTAATTTTACTGCGTCGCATAGAACTTCAATACACTGTATTCAGGAGCAAGAGCCTCCATTACAGTGGATGTAGCCTTAGTTCCTCAGCTAAGGTGAACCACTTATTTTCTGTGTTCTTTTCTGTTTAATTTTCCAGATCCATCGCAACGCAAGAACCAAACAACCATAGTCCATAGGTTGGGCTTGGGTCGAGAAATTCTGAGCACCATCATTGGCGCCGTCTGTGGGAACGATTTTCATCGTTTCTTTTCTAATCTGTTGATTACTTGATGGTTTTTACTCGGAACATGAGTAAAGCTCCAGCCAATCCCCAAGTCCGTCAAAACCCACTAGAAAACTTTTCGGTTCCAGAAGGAGACGTCGAGGACCGACCTCCAGAGACAAACCTCCATCCCTCCCAACGAACTGGAAGCTTATCGTCGAACTACAGTTCGGTTAATAAGGCAGAACCAGGAGCTGATGGAGTGGATACAAACGCATCAGCTCCTTCAGTTCCCACCAGCACGTCAGGAACCTCCCACACCCCGGGCCGAGCAGGACGCTCCTCCCCAAGAGCGCCAAGCCCCGCCTAATGGAGTCACCGAGCTCCATGAGCGGAGCCACTCTAGGGAAAATCATCGGAGGAGGTACCCAGAAGAACACAATGAAAACAAAGCCCACAGTAGGGCCAAACCTACCTTCCAAGAAGACAGATCCTTCCATCTGCCAGATATCGCGGACCATCACTTAGAACAAAAGCTCCGCGAACTCCAGCGAGAGCTAGGGAATATGAAAGAAGTGTTCAAAGGAAGGACCCCTGATACCATGGACACCTTGGTCCAGTAGACAGAGTCATCATTCACTCCAGAGGTCCTTCACTTCCCCCTTCCCTAGAAATTTTGAATGCAGTTGATAGAAGCGTTTGACAGAACCAAAGACCCAGTCGATCATCTGAACTCCTACAAAAACCAGATGGAGCTTCAAGGGTACCCGGACCCAATACGTTGTTGGGCTTTCGCCATCACCCTCAAAGGGTCGGTAATATCTTGGTTCAACCGTCTGCAACCAACATCAATCTCCTCTTTCAGGGAATTGTCCATCCAGTTCATTTCCCACTTCATTGGAGCAAGGATATACAGAAAATCATCCTACCATATTCTGAGCGTCAAGCAGGGGCCCAACGAGTCCCTCAGAAGCTATGTTCAACGCTTCAACCAGGAATGCTTGAAGGTAGAAAGCGTGGACAATAAGTTTGCATTGACAACTTTCATGTCAGGACTCGGGTTTCAATCCAAGGATCTCCTATTTTCAATAGCAAAGAATCCTCAGGCCACTATAGCCGAGGTGCTAGCGAAAGTCGAGAAGTACATTAATGGAGAAGAAGCTCTCCGCTTGAAAGGGAGCTCAACATCGGTTGAGGAGAGCAAAAAGAAAAGGGACTGTAGCCCCAGGAAAGAGGGGAAACATGATCGATCTCCAAAGCGAGAGCGTTCACCTAGGAAAACAAGAGAGCCCTCTCCCAAAAGGAGAGGCAACATCCGAGATTGACTAGGGTCGCCCCCACAAGACTTGTAATCGCGATTCACCCCAGCGCGACTTCCACCACTGGTAACTTCAATCGCTTAGGTCCTCCACGAAGTCCAGAATGAGAGGTTCATTCGGTGGCCGCCACGAATGAAATCCGACCCTAGCAGGCGAGACCCCGCCAAGTACTGTGAGTTCTACAAGGATACTGGTCATGAGACCGACGACTGCATTCAACTCAAGAAAGAGATAGAATACCCTATCTAGAGAGGCCACATGCGTTAGTACGTAGCAAGGGAAGGCAGAGCACAGAATAATCAAGGGCGAGAAGCCCGAGCTGCTATAGCAGCACCTCAGCAACACCAGCAAGTGCTGGGCGAAATCCGAGTCATCTTGGGAGGCTTCGTAGAAGGCGGAGAATCGAGTTCTGCACAGAAAGCGCACGCCAGGAGAGCCCATTCGCCAGACTTCTTGGCAATCCAAGTCGTTGCTAAGGCACCCCGCCAAGATGTGGAGATCACTCTTTCCAACACAGATCTCCAAGGATGTCAACACCCGCACGACGACCCTCTGGTCATAAAGGCGATCGTTACGAACAAAACTGTACACTGAGTGCTCATCGACAATGGGAGCTCGACAGATATCATCTTCCTAACAGCCTTCGACCAGCTTGACATAGAAAGGTCTCAGCTCGAGCCCGTGAAAACTGATTAACCCTAATTAAGGCATAATTTAATAGGTAAATTGTGTTAGTTGAATAAAGTTAAACTAGTCAAAATAAATCAAATTAGAATTAGTGTGTGAATAAAGGATAATGCATTAATTGTTGTTCTTTTCAGGATTTTGTGCGTCAAAGCTACAAACTACTGGGGAGCCAATTGCATTAAAGCTACAAACTACTGGGGTGCCAATTATCAAAGCTCAAAACAAAGGAAGATCAAAAAATTCAAGGCCACCTAACAAGATTTTCAAGTCCACCTAACAAGATTTTCAAGTCCACCCAACAAGATTCAAAGTCACCTAACAAGATTTTCAAGTCCACCTAACAAGACTCTTCAAGTCCACCTAACAAGATTCAAGACCACCTAACAATACTTTCACCCTCCCTTGTTGCCTATAAATACCACCCCTTAGGACTTATAAAACATTCATCTTTTGGTAGTGAAAAATCCTCCAAAAGTATTATTGTTTTCCTTATTACTTATAGCTTTCTTTAAGTATTGCTTTCTTTTATTGTATTCTTGCTTCCTTTTAATTTATTGCTTTCTTTTACTTTAAGTATTGCTTTCTTTTATTGTGTTATTGCTCTTTTACTTCCATTTCTTGAGCTTCCTTCTTCCCTTAGAGGAGTGAAACTCTTCCACTTTTCTAGAGCTTTACCAAAGCCGTGAAGGGTGGAACGTGATTCACTCATTCTTTGTCGAAGATCGGCTCCTTGTGTAAAATGTGTTACCTTGTAACTCCTCTACTTTGAGGGATGAGCATCACTCACTTTTCTAGTTTTAACAAAGTCATGAAGAGTGAGTAGTTTCTCATCCAATCTTTAGTAAAAGGTGGTTATCCAGAAATTAAATTTATGCAATTCGTTTATGCTTAGCTTTAGTCTTTATTTTTTCATAATGTCTTCTCATCATATTGTTGTCTTTATTTTAAGCATGAATAGCTAAATCTCTTAGTTGGCAAAATCAAGAGGAACCTCCACTTGAGTATACCATTTCAACTCATTCTCCTCCCTTCTTTCAGAGTTCAATGGTTCGGTTTGACTGGGTTGAGGGTGGATAACTTGGTGAGTCTTTGATATTCCGTAGGCCTAGTCACGGTTTATGCTTAGATACTAACCAATCTTACCCCTAGCTTCCCACGAATCAATCGTTCATTCATGCTCTATTGGAGGAGGGTTCCGAGTTGAGACGGTATTCCTATTGGAGTGACCTCTTGGATTTGCCAACATTTGTTTCTCATTTTACTAGCATCAAAACAACTTCACCAAACAACTTCCAACAATCAAAGATTTTACACTTTCTTTCTCCCAAAATCATCTCCCCTCGGTTTACTTCCTTCCCTATGGAAACGACCTTGGAATACCACCAAGTAAAACACGATCCGCGAAAGTCTCCTTGCGCTTGGGGAGCACTTTTGTTCACACATACTCACATTTGAAATCTCATTCATCCACCATTCTGTTGCCATTTCTTTTGATATCATCCCTAGGAGAGTGACACTCCCCTTTATTCATATACTATACATGCTAAAAGGTGATGTTTATAGGTTAGGAAACAACAAGGAAATTTGTCAAGCAAAAACCCACCTCTTGGGTTTCTCGGGAGAAA